ATGGGTCAAGGCCTTTAAAAACCGATGTCAGCAGGGGTTTTATCACAGTCACTTCCTCCTGTGAAGTTCCAATGTGCAGCAATTTACCGTATTTTGCCATGTATAATGTGCTCCCATGTATAGTGTGCACCCACAGTTTTGGCCCAAACTTTCAGGAAAAAAAAATCATTTAATTTTTTAATCCAATTTTTTAAATATATTTATATTTAGAAATAAAACCGATTATTGTATTCCAGGGTATAATTTTGCATACCAATATCATTATTGCTTTCTAGAGTTACACTTTTAACACAGAAGTATAAATAATTTAAAACATTTATATATACATATGGACTTAGTACTACCCATGTATAATGTACATCCTTATTTTTCCCTCAAAAATTTGGGCAAAAAGTGAGAACCATACACAGCGAAATATGGTAAGTAAAATATGAGTGACTTTCACACAAGCTGACAAACTGATGAAAGAGTAGATACTTTGCTGGGAAGCACTGTAGCAAAGAAGAATGCTTTCAGGGAGCAGCCAGGGACTCTGGCACTAGACAGTGTTGGCGGTGGGGGGCGAGGGGACAATGAGGATCCCAGAGCAAGTCTCAGGCAGTCTGCACTTGCAGGTGGCAGAGGATAATGCACAGGAAAGGGGCATTAGTAGTGTTGGGGCTAAATCTCAAATCTGACTCATCTAATGCTCCTTTTGTTACATATCTGCCCCTGCCCCAGTTGTTACTACCAAAAATGTCTCTAGAAATTGTCAAATAACCCCTGGGGTGGGGTGGAGTGGGGGTGGTAGAGATACTACTTGAGAACCAATGCCATAGAGGGGATTTGATTTTTAAAAGTTTTAAGAAGATAATGTTAAACATTTCCAAGACTTGAACTTCAGAAGCCTCAAAGGCCTACCAAAACAGTATGGCACATCTAAAACCTCAATTCTTTTTTCTTTAAATCATCACCTGAGAATATTTTTTTTCATTGCTTTTAAAGAGAGAGGGAGAGAGAGAAACATCAATGTGAGAGAGAAGCATGGATTGCCTATTGGTTGCCTTCCCTATACGCCCATACAGGGACTGTATCATCATCAGGGACTGAGGATCGAGCCCCCAGCAATTTAGGTATGTGCCCTGACTGGGAAATGAACCTTCAATCCTTTGGTTACACGACAGAACTTGAGCCACACTGGCCAAGAAAACCTCAATTCTGTAGTGTAAGAAACGTCCAAACCTATAAGAATTTTGTGAGTTTATTCGAGCAAAACAGATGACAACTCCTGGGAAGCAAAATCTCAATAGGTTAAGAAAATGCTCTGGAAAATGGCAGTTCTACCACTTATTTTACACATCAGAATCAAAGGGGAAGATGTAAGGGTGTTACATGAAATTCATGGGGAAGATGGGAGAAAGAAAAGGGGGGGAGGTATTTATGGGATTGCATAAAAATAAATAGACACATACTTCTTTTACATATATAGGATATAGGATAGTTAATATTAACAATTAACATGATAATAGCAATGAGGGAATTCATGGTTTCTGCTCTGGTGCGGTGGTTGTGCTTTCAGGAGTCGGGGGAAAAAGGAAATTACTTTGATATTCCAAATGCATGTTATCGGGTATGTCATTGTAAACAAAACAACAAAAAAACCAATAGATTCAGGTTAGGTAAAGACTGAACTTTTTTAGGGAAAAATACTGGTTTAGGATGCGATTACCTGCCATGAACTGATTTTAGTTAGAAAGTTTTAATTTCAGAGCATCCTATGTGGTTACTTTAGATCTCTTGAGTTTTTAAGGCCACCATGTCTGCCTCCCCTGAGCTTATCAAGTTTAGTGTGTGGTCCCTTTTTTTGTCCACAATTCCTACCATGTTTGTATAATGGAGAGACTATCATTGAAGGACTATGGACTGAATCTGGTCAATTTTTAAATAATTGGTTATTATCATTTTAAAATCAGACGATTTTGCCCTGACTGGTGTGGCTCAGTTGGTTGGGCATTGTTCCCCAAAGCAAAAGTGTGCCCATTTGATCTCTGGTCAGGATACGTGCCTGCATTGTGGGTTTGGTCCCCAGTTGTGGCACATAGGAGAAGCAACTGATCAAAGTTCTCTCTCACACAGATGTTAATGTTTCTCTCCCTCTCTTCCCTTCTAAAAATAAATAAATAAATAACAATAAAATCACAAGATTTCACATTTAAAAGTCCGAATTTCTGACTTTTATAAGAAAATTAGAACTATGGCAATACTAGGCCCACCATCCCAAATAGCACATGTTTGGATGGAGTTGAGTGGGAGTCAGGTTGTTAAACAGAATGTGTGCTTTCTAGTTTGCCACAGTTCCATTCCTTATTACCTAATACCCTATCTGTTTCACTCATTCACACTACTCCTTCTCTATAAGCAATTTATTTTCAACCTCTGAAGTGCTTTATAGTTTTAAATTATTTTCTATCTACAATTTTATTTTAGCCTTGATACTCTGGTAAGGTAGAGGAGTTAAATGCTACGATTATCTTGATGTAAGCAAAACGTAGTTCAGAGAGGTCTGACTTGCTGAAACTTATACAACAAAAGTAGAATCTAAATTTCCTTTCAGCTCTGTCAATTTTGGGGAGGACTCTATTAAGAACTTCATTTTGTAGTTCATGGAACAAAACCAAAGAAGTAGATATGGGCATAACTGCTAGGATAGATGAGTTACAACTGCTAAGCTGTTCAAGAATCAGTACAAATGATTAACTCTTTCAATGAGTAATTCGGCTTCCCTTCTCTTTACAGGAATATGAAAAGACTGCTCTTTTCTGTCTTGAGTTGGGTGTGCCTATATGACTTACTTTGGTCAATAAAGTGTGAGTGGAAACAATATTTGTCCCTTTGAGGCAGAAGCATTTAAGAGCTCACGAACAATTCTTCATGCTTGGAGGAAGGGAAACTCTAAGCTTCATGATGACATGGCGGGATCTCAGAATGGTGGTGCTTCATCTGCTTGGGTAACTGAATAACTGAATAATGAGAATAAGTTCCTGCCAGACTATTCTAGACATGTAGTATAAGAGAGAAGCCTTTGTAATTTTAAGAAATTGCGATTTTAGCATTCTTATCACAGCATAACCTAGCCCAACCTGACTAATACAATGATTTATTTGCACAGTCATTAAACTTCTCCAAGAATTGGGATGCAATTCATAGACTTCTGATCAATTCACTAAAAACTATATTTCTTATCTGGAAGACAATGAGAGTGAACTGTTGATTTTTTTTTTTTTACCCCCAGCTTCCTCATCTACCACCACCTTCTGAGTTGGAAGAAAATTATTTTGTGAATCATTCACACATGAGCTCTCCGTTAGTCTGGCTGTTAGACTGGGAGGAGAAGAGGGAGGCCCAGATCTTGTTTTCTCCATTCCAAAGCCTAATCCCAGAACTATCCCCACCCACTAGTATTCACATAACCTTGTCATAGGGCAGCTATTACCACTCCCAAGGTGTCACAATCAGAAAGGAGTTGCCGCTGGCACCACTGCAATGTTAGGGCAAGGCAGCCAGGCTGCGCTCTTTGCTCACTGGTGTCTAGGCTTGGCAGAGTCCGGAGAAGCAGCATTCTCTAAGGGAAAGACGCCTTCTCAAGTGGAAACAAAAATGAGTGTGATGCGCACACCCATCCTGGGCACTATGTGAATTTGGGGTGAGTTCTTTCAGCACTCCAGCTCCGACCGACTTCTAGTTTCTTTAGCGGCTAATAAGCTGCCTTGCTTTGTACTACTGGGCCTCTCAGTTTTCCTGGGCTTTTCTCAAGCCACATATGCTTGTCATCTTTGCACACTTGCAAAGGTCATAAACGGTGGGGGGTTGAGCGCAACCAGAGCTTCAGCAACCGGACCGCTGCCGAGATCAAAGGTCGGCTGGGCAACCGAGAGGCTGAGCCTGCGCAGTCCTGCTCCCGCCTTGGCAAGGAGGGGTGGCGGCAGCGCGGGCTTGCTACACCGCGTGCTCGCAGAGGCGGGAAAGTCGTAGGTTGGGTTGCCGCGTCCCTCCCTCTTCCTGACCCTTTCACTCGTCTGCCCAGAGAGCCGGTCCGCCTCAGGCACCCAGGCCCCGGGGAAGGAAGGCGTGAAGGGCCACGGGCTCTGACTCATCATTTCTAACCCCTTTCTCGCGCGCGCTCCAAGTCTCAGGACTTGGGACCTGGGCACTGTGGGAGGGGGCGCGGCGACAGGATCTGGGAAACCCCAGCTTTGCCGAGGGCCATCCCCCAACCCCTACCGGTTTCCGAAGCTGCCAGGGAGAGTAGTGTGGACCCACAGTCAGCTGTCAGTTGCCGTGGTTGGGGTAGCGGTGCCCCCTTTCAGAATAACCCGCCTGGCTCCTCCCTGAACGCCGGGCCAGTGGTCGCGTCCGAGAAAACTCGGTTAGGCCCGGACTTTCAGCGCCTCGTGTCACTCAGCAGATGCACAGCGCCCTCACCGCGGAGAAAAGGCTCTTTATTTCCCAGCAGGCCAAGGGGTAGCGGGGCATTCCGGGACTTGTAGTCTGCGGTGGAGTAAGGAAACTGGTCGAAGGGAGAGAGCTAAACCACCCAGGAATTGATTTCAGAGAGTGGGCGTGTCCGGGAACTCGGGCTTGGAGTGGATGGGATTATGAAAGGTGGAAAGAAGAGAAACAGTGAGATGAGGAAGATATGAAACTGTGGGGAGGAGGTGGGTAAAGATGGAAGGGAGGAAGCTGAAAGTTGGCTTAAGGATGCCCTGCAGGGGGCGAGGCGGGGGCGGGGGGGGGCAGTTTCTCAGGGCGGTGAGGTGAGAGAAAAACCTGGTCTAGGTATAGCTTTCCCTAGAAGAGAAAGAGTCCTAGTCTGAGTGGAAATTGAAGGCATTTCACCAGACTTCATGTAGATTTCAAGGGACTCCACCTAGCTTCAGAATTTGGTGGGATGGGGTGCAGGAGGGTCTGGAGAAGGCTCCCACTGAGTAGGAGAGCAGCACCCGTCTGCTGCCCTTGCCAGCTCATTCAGTTGTTCGGTTTGCTGTGCTAGCCACTGTGGGACCATTCTCCAAATCAGTAACTTCCTCCAACTCACAGGGACCCTGAAAACCAGACAGAGGTGTGAGGAGTGAGAAAGGAGGAATCCCAGATAGGAGCAACTTCCTCCTCCTCTCTGATTTTTTCTTGTGTTCCCATAGCCCTTCCAATATTGAGGCAGCTTCCTAATGGTCTCCCACATTTCTAGCCCCAACAATTTAGAAACCCAATTCCCTCTTACCCACCACTAGGGGAGGGACGTCCAAAGTCAGAAAACCAATCATCTTGAGGCTAGGACCCTCTGTGCCACCTTTAAGTGCCATTGGTCAGAATAGCCATTAAGAAAACCAGAAAACAAACTAACAAAAACAACAACAACAAAACCCGAGCTTCTAGCTAGTTGCTCCATACTTTCCTCCCTGCCCTCAGTACCTCCTGCAGCTCTTGGTAGTGCAGACTCCGTCTCCTGCAGCATCCTGGCTTCCTCTGGGTCAGCAGGAATAGGGAATGTGCTGAGACCAGCACTCCTCCTAGGGTGAAGGCCTCAGCGCTGAGCTCCAGCACCAGGAAACCGTCCAGCTGCAGGTAGACAGGGCTGAGGATGCTACAGGGAACCCAGCACCTGTTTGCCCCTGTCCTTATCCCTCTCCATTTCCTCTTGCCTCCTCATCTGCCCACCTTCTCCTTTACTCACCTGTACCTTGGAGGAGGCAGTTGCACCAGGCCCCAAGGCTGTCTTCATCACCTCAACCACCACCACGATGAGGCCAAAGATCAGACTGAAGATGTTTAATATCATCATGGCCTGCACCTGCCAGTGAGCCAGTTCAGCCCTGCCCAGCTTAGGGGATTCATTGCAACCCCAAGCCAACCATTACCTACCCAAAAACAAAACTCAACTCATCCACCTTCTAACAAGGCCATCAACCCTCCAAGTTTTGTTTTTTGTTTTTTGTTTTTTGTTTGTTTGTTTTTTGCTTTCTGTCTTCAGTCTTCTAGGACAGTGAGAGGCAGAGAGCTGACTGGATTAGCTTAGAGAGCCACTTTCTGGGTTGAGGGCTGTGTTTGCGTGCGCGCTTTGGGGGTGGGAGAGTAGTATTCCATTCTCTTTCCCTCTCACCTTCCAAAGGCGAGGTGCTCTGCGCAGCTCAAGGGTAACGATCCCACTGAGGAAACCCTGAATGGTGAGAAAGGCAAGTGTTGAGCTCTGGTTCCATTAGTGAAGGGCCCCCAGGATCTTCCTTCCACCCTCCCTTGTGGTGGGTCTTACCAATGCTCCAGGTCCAAGTGGCAGTGCTGTGGCCATGTGACAAGCAGAGTTCAGACAGGCAACTGAGACAGCAATGGGCACCACAGCCACTGCTAGCCATAGTTGGCTCATCTGGAGGCCGAATGCAGGGTGGTTGAAGGGGAACTGTCATGGATTTCCTTCCCTCCTCCCAATGCCCTCCTCTCCCAGAGACAAGCAATTGGCAGGAATGCCTGGTGGCAGAAAGTAGTCAACCAAGGGCAGTGAAAGAAGGGATATCATTAAACTTGTTCTGCCTCATGTCATAGTTTAATTACTTACCTATGTATTTTTCCCACATAATGGAAAAATCTACAAGCTTCTACAGGAAATCTACAAGAAATCCTTCTAGATTAAGGATTTCGCCTTATTTATTCTATACCTCCTCCACCCTCGTAGAGCTCAGAGTCTAGCAGGTTCAAACATATGGTAGGTGTCCACAAAACATGGATGAAATTGAATTGAGGTACAAGAGGATGTGCTGAAGCTTGGGATGGGGCATCCTGGCCTCACCGCCAGCACCAAGAGGTGCCCACTTTGTCTGTGCCTTGTCCAGCGCTGTAGTTTTTCCAGACGAGGGCTGGGTCTCTCCTGCTCTTGCTGGCTGGCTCTGTCCTCCATGGCTCCCTTGATTACTGAAGGTTGGTGCTTTCCTGGGAAAAATGCATTATGGCACCTATCAGGAGACAGGTCAAGCAGGAACCTCTATTTTAGCTACCCCTCTGCATGCTTCTAATATCCAGGGAATTGAGGCTCAGGGCCTTTCACCTACCTATTCTGAAGCAGCTACTCCAAAAGGATGGGACCCAGTTGGGCCTGGAGCTCCTGGCAGGACCTGGTAGCTCAGAGCATACAACAAACTTGTCCTGGCAGACACAGGCTATCAGGGCTGGGGTGTGGTGGGGCAAAGGTCCCTATGAGGGCCTAAGGATCCAGGGAGTTGGCCATAGGTAATAGATACCAGCCTCTGTTCACTCCACAAGATACCCAGCTCTGCCTGGCTCTGTTCCTGTTTCCCCCATCTCTGCCCATCGTGGATTCCTCTTCTTATCACTCACCCATGGACAGTTCTACCCTGAGCTCTAATCCTTCCCACCCCCTGCCATTTTCATCTAATCTTTCTCCTTTTTTAGGCTTCCTCCTCAAATTACTTGCTGTTCCCTAGGGAAATCCCACATTACTGTCTGGATTGTTCCCATGTCATTACCACTGGCAGCTTTGTCCTAAGACCAGGCAAGGTTTAATTCCCCTAGCTTCCTGTCTGTCACATTCTGAATGGTTTCTTCTCTATCCTTCCTTTCTCGAAGGGTTTACTGTGGATGGGACACTGACAAAGTGGATGGGGTACGCTACTTATAGTGGGGATCTTCTTTGACTTAGTGATAACTTGCATCTAGGCATGTATAGAAGACAGCCCCCAAATGATCAGTCTTGGGAAGGATGCTATTGCAACAATTAATATTTTTGAGAGATACGAGTTGCCTTGAAGGCAAGCTGACCTGGACTAAAATCTCAGCTCTGCCACTTTCCTAGCTGTGTGACCTTGAATACATTATTCAACCTATTTGAACTACTGTTTGTTCAAACTGAGTGATAAAACGGGAGCTAATAATATGACTGTGAAGGGTTGTTGACTCACGGTGAGTGCTTAGTAACCATTAGTGGTGTGGATGAGGTCATACTGTTGTGCCTGATGCCCATATTCTAAAGGGCTTATTCAGAAGCTAAGCTGGGGATATTTATTCCTACAGTAAGAAGAAGAACCAGCTGGGCCCAAATATGTACTCTAGAAATAAAAAATCAGGAAGGTCCATTTTGATGCAGAGCCGGAGGTCTGGAGGCAACCAGACCTATGTTTGAATCCCGGATCTACCTGGGTGACGTTGTGCAGGTTGCTTAATCTCTCTATTTCCTTACTTGTACAGGGAAGTTAATAATACCACAGGTGTGCCTTGAATATTAAAAGGAAAAATGCATATGAACCAGCTCCGCCCAACACCGGGCACATAGTGCTCAATAAATGTTAGTGGCTATTATCATTATTATTATTGATGATGAAAGAAGGCTGAGCAGAAGATCCCTGGGAGTTACTACCAGACGATACACTGGGAGGAAAGTGGCCTGCTTTGTCAGCCACTTCTGCCCTGCTTAGTGCTGGGCCAACACTCATTGGAACACTGTATCTGCTCTTCTTTCCTGGGGAGTGGGAATCACACTTAAAGGGGTGAGAACTGGAGCATCTTCTCCCTCCTCCACCCCCGCGCGTCTAACTTTATTTGGTGGTGATGGCCTGACAGAATGTGAGATGTTGGGCTTGCAGTGAGGATCCCTGAGCTGGCAGGCCAGAGGAAAGAGACCCTTTAGCCTCATTTTCCTTTCCTATAAATGCAGACTAATTGTATTTCTGAGTGTTAAGGATTATATATTATTAAATATGTGAACCAGCACTTAATAAATATTGACTAATCTGAGTATATTACTTACACATTCGTGGCTCCTATCTAGACTATAATGTCCTCGAAGGAGGGTACTACCCCCCCACTTTTCATCCCCCCAAAGCGCTAAGCATAGTGCCTGGTACTTAGTAAGCACTCAGTAAATATTTGTTGTATTGAAGAGTCATTAAAGTGACTTAAGGAATGGAAAATAGAATTCGAGAGGAAGGCGCAGGAATTGTTTATCAAGAACAGAAAGGACCGAGGAGTAACTTTAATAATGTTTCTTATACGGCAGACATTATCTCTATAATCGCCCCTCCTCCTCCCCAAAAAGAGAGACAGAAATTGTAGGGAGAGGCTTTGAGATAAAACCCCAGGAAGAACTTCCCGAGTCTGTGCATGTTGGGGCAGAAAAAGCGGCAGAGCCAACTCCTTCCCTGGTATGTCCGGGTTTAGGGTGGGAGGGGCAGCGCTGCTTGGAGGCTGGGGGAAGGACGAGATGACCTTTCAAAATCTCTTCCAGTCTTCTGTAGGAATCGTCTGTGCGCCCCATCCCCCTCCCTCCGATAGCGCCCCCCGTCTTCAAACTGCCCGCACCCCGCCCCTGGCGGCCGCCTCTCGCGGCTCCAGGGGTCCCCAGCTCCCAGTCCCCGGAGCCAGAGCCCCGCTCCCGCGCGGCTCCCAGTGCCGCCGCGCCGCCCCCCGCATGCTAATGGCCGGGCCGCCTCCCGCCGCACACAATGCGGGCCAGGGCCGGGGGCGGGGGACCGGGGAGGGGGCGGGGGCCGGGCCGGGGGCGGGGGGGCCGGGGCCCGGCGCATCTCCCCCGGCCCCACGTAACGCTGACGCCCGCGCCGCCGGCCCGCCGCCCGCCGCCGCCGCCGCCGCCGCCGCCCGCTCCGCCGCCGCCCGCCCGGGGCTCGTGAGTAGCCGCTGCCCCCACTCCCGGCCCCCCCTCCGCCACCCGGCCCCCGCCCCCGGCCCCCTCCCCCCCCTCCCGGAGGGGGGGCCCACTCCGCGCGCCGGGCTCGGAGCAGGTGCAGGGGGCGGGGGCGGGGGAGGGGCGCCGGCTCGGCCCCAAGCAAACTTCGCCCAGAGCTCCTGGGGGGGCGGGGTGGGGGCTGCGGCCTCAGAAGCCTGGAGAGCTAGGGGGGCCTCGCGGGAGGGGGCCAGGTGGGGGAGCCGGGAAAGGGGACACCAAAGGGGAAAGGCCAGCGGGGGGGGGCGCGGGGGACGAGGACGGGCGTCTTTGTAGGGGCCCGAAGGCAGGGCGCGAGGGGCCTGGGGGTGCAGGGTGGCGGAGCCGGGAGCTAGAGTGGATGACCGCCCCCCGGCCCAGGTAGGGCTGCTGGTAGAGGGGGAAGGGACCCAAACTCTCTGGGAGCCCGGGTGGGGGAGGGGAGAGGATGGGGGGGTGCTTCCCTCTCTGCGTCCCAAACAAAGTGTCACAAAGAGCTCGGCCGGCGGCAGCAGCAGAGGCGGCTGCAACTCAGCTTTTGTTCTCCCGGCCTGGGTAGCTGAGCCCTGGCCTTCCAATCTCCCAACCCTGTCCCCCATCATCCTTCTGGCTTATCTTCCTGGGGAGGGGTCTGGGGTGCTGCCGGAAGAACCTCCTGTGCAGGATCACAGGTCCTCCTCTACTTGCCAATCTACTTGTGGGAGGTGGATTTTCCCAGAGGCTCTCCTGCCCACCCCCCACCCCGAAATGCCAGGACTGAGGCCCATATGGGTGCTAAGACTCTGACCTTTATAGGGTCAGTTCCAGTTAAGGGGACTTAGGGCTGGCTGTATGCCCCTTCCCCCAAATCCAGAACTTTCAGAAGAGGGGTCAAGTTGGGACATGCCTCTGGAGTAAGATTCACCATGGTGGGGTGGTGGTAGGTGAGCAGGTGTACCTTCCTCTTGCCTGCTGGAGTCCATGACTGAGATTCCATGCCCCCGACTCAGGGCAGTGAGGATGAAGGGATAGAGGCCTTACCAAGAACTCAAAGTAAAAGGTGGGCAAGCTGTGATCTGGGGTCACTTTGGAGGAGCTACCTGAGCAGAGAGGTTCAGAGGGCCATGGCGAGGAGACCATAAAAACGAACTACTGGGATGTCTGTGTGATAAAAGGTGGTTTTGACTCTAGACCATCTAAGGAAGCTCCTTTTCCTTTTAACCCCATCTAGTGCAGTGTTAATCATAACTGTTAGAGGACTAGTGGAGGTGTAGGATCCTCAATAGAGGGAAAGACATCAAGTATTAGAAATGATCAGTGACAGATGATTAGTCACAATACGCTTCAGAAGTCTTGAACCCTTGCCCTTTACACTTTGATCCTAAAAACTATTGAACCACAAGGTTTGAGGGACAATCTTCATGGTATCCCAGTCAGCAGACATTTCTATGTACCTGTCCCTGTTATTAAGTCTTTTTCACCAAGCCTTCCATTCTTTCCTATTCAGTAAGGTTTGGTGGTCCACACCCCCTTCCCTACCAGCTCTGCTAGCACATACAAGTACTTGGCCTGTTGCTTTCGAAAGACTTCTGATCCCTATCACTTGCCTTGAATCCCTATAGAACCCAAATAAGGGCAAGATAACCCCTGATTCCCAGTGGGTGAGGAAAGTAGGTCAGTGCTACTGTCTGGCCAAATCTCGTGGATGGTGCCTATGGCCTGACTATAGAAAACTGTTGATAATTGCCCATGGGCAATACAAGCATGACCTGGGTTCTAAATCAGTTCATAGAATCTTGGGCCCTGTCAGTGCTTTCTCCTTTTGAGAAAAACTCATGGGATCATATGCCTGAGACCTGGTTTGGTGTGGAAGTAATTCAGAGAATCTTGATTGCACCTAGAGGGTCTCTCAGTGGGTTTTATTGATTTGAGACCACCATTTGGGGAAAGATGCCCTGCTCAGGAATATAAATTCAACTTGGATCTTCTTGTATATCACTATTTCTTTCCTAGAAACTTGTCATGTGCAAAGCAGATTTTGGGTATGGGGGAGGAAGCTTTGCCTTATTCCTACTCTACTTGCCTTGGATATGAGGTCAGCTTCCCCTGAAATATTTTGCTTGCTATCCTACAGGCAGTTTCAGGGGCCCTAGAATCTTCTTAGAATCAGAGTATGTGCCTGTAGGTTAGTCAGCTATGACCATGCAGTATTCCCAGCCTTTCCTCCCTCCTCCCCCACCATCTGC